TATTACACATTAATCGACAAAAGGGCGATGGCGCAATGATTTCAATTTCACCAGAGCATTATTTTTAAGAAAAGATATCTAACAAAGAAGTCTATGCTAAGATCCATTTATGTATTATTTGGTTTAACTAACATTTTTTTCTTTTCTTTTTTTAAATTTTTATTGTTACTGCTCGTAATTTATCCCCCCCCCCTCTCTCTCTCTCTCTCTCTAAGAGATATTAATTTTTACATTTATATACTTTATAAAAACATAAAATCCCATTTCTTTTGAACGATAACTAATTAACTTCTGAAGTAAAATCAACCAATAGAAATTTTCTGAAAATCAGTTGCCGAATATTTATACATAAATGCCATAACTTTGCAGCACTTGATAAAATTGTAAAAGTGATATTTTGCAGGTTTTGGATACTCTCCTTAACAGAAATTTAAAATATGAAAGAAATAAAAAAATTGGTTGAAAATTACTAAATTATTTGGTATAATTTAGTATCTCTCAAAATCATTATTTAAATTTCAAAATATCGCGTACAATAATCCTGATATTAAATGTCTACTATTATTTAAAATATTTAGGAATATAAGCGCTCTGATATATTGCTGATAATAAACTGATTGCAAAAGAATGGATCAAAGCATGAGCTTCATACACACGTACACAAACACACGTACACACGCGTACGTGCGAAAAAATCGAAAGATTCAATTACCTCCAAACATTGATAATTATAGCTTTAAACGAAGAGACCAAATAATTAATGAAGAGTCCATATTCTCTTACAGAAAGAGCAGTTCTTAGAGAAACCTGAATTAAGCAATTTTGCAAAGAAAAGATATGTATCCGTCTATTGTTACTGTATGTTTTGTATGTATGTATGTATGTCTATATGTATACATATATATACACACATGTAAACAAAGATATATACGTATATTTGTATGTAGACTAGAATTCCGATCATATTGATCTAAATTTTGATCAATGGTGTATCGCGCGATCGTGTGCTCGTTTGATCGAGGGTGCGGACGAGAGCGAATAGCTCTTCTGTGTGTATTTCCTTGATGTTCCCAGCTATCTTGTTCCTTAATCGAAAGCTACGTGAGTGTGAATAAAGGATGCTCGGTCATCATAGGCAATTCAGTCTATATAGATAACGTCGCCCTTATCAACCAAGTATTAGCATGTAAATTATCCTTCAAGTGACATAGCGACTGTCGTCAGAAATGTAAAAATCAGAAATATAAAAATGTTTAAAATATTAATATTCTATAATAGGATAATAGGGAGAAAAATAGGAATCTCGCAATCAATCGAGAAGTCTTACGATTTTCACAGAAAGTAAAACGGTATTTTTTAACAGATTTATGAAACTATTGGGTTGGAACAAAAATTCATAGCGCTACGAACTTTCAATCCAATCTGATATTTTCCTAATAAAGTTAAGCGTCTAGTAAATCATCCCGCCTCTCAGATCTGCAAATCTTTATATACATGCGCACCCTCCATCATCGACGCACCTAAATGCCTAAAGGACCTTATCAAACGTAGTAGTGCATGATCAACGACGATCATCCACGCGACAACGATGCTGTCGGTTTTTCCTGTCCTCGAAAACGACGACACGGCCGAGAAGCGCACGTAACTATGTTCGCATTCCTCCAATTCGATGTATATTTGCATGTAAATATCTCTCTACACTTATCAGGTTGGGAAAAAGGAGAAAAGGAAAAGAAAGAAGAAACAGAATCCTCGCTGTCCGTAATCACGCTTACGACTGAGGATAAAAAAGAAGGGCATCTCAGTGTAATTACTCCGTGGACACAATGAAAATATAGAGTTGAAGTCTGTCAATTCGTGACACATTATAAATTCTAAACCTGTGATTTTATCGAATCTAACTTTAGGGGTTTTAGCTTTAAAGCTCTTGGTAGAATGGCAGATATGTATGTATCTGTACTCTATATATGCGATCCGATTCACTCTCGGTTTACGAACATATCGTATTGCACGTTCCGTTGTAATCAACAACAAGAGCAGAAACCCGATCATTAATCCTTAATCAGTATGGTGAAGTTATGCATCTGATATGGCGAGATCACAGATAATTAACTCTTGAATCCTACTCACTGGATTCCTGCTAAATCCATTAAATTGAGGTTTTGAATATATGAGAACGTGGTGACTAGAGCATAAAAAATATATTTTCATAGTTCAGAATATATTACTTGTTTTAATCATAATACTTGGAACGAATAGAGAGAAAGAGGGAGAGAGAGAGAGAGAGAGAGAGAGAGAGAGAGAGAGAGAGAGAGAGAAAGAAAGTAATATAAACCTAATTATTAATTTTATATATTTACTCGAATAGATTTTTTTACGATCCCATTGAAAATATAATTACATATTTTTAAATTAGAGGAAAGTAGGGACAAAAGGTAAATAAGAAATCTCGATGAGAGATCAGCTAATAATCAGCTTAACCAAGCAACATTCTTAATAATAGCATACCTAATATATCTATAATTCGTCGCTGCTGTTGTAACTAGATGTAAGTCGCTTTTAGAACTACTCGCTTAAGGATCCATTGTGCTGGTTAAGGATTAAAATATATTTTTTCAAGCAATTAACTATTGTAATTAAAAGTGTGAGTGTGCATATGCGATTTCAACGTTGGTCGCATTGAGAGGATAAAGGATACGACATGATAACGGAGAACAGAAACCTTTTATTTACATTGAAAACTTTATAGCCGATCCTTCTTGTAGATAACCTCAAAGTGGAATTAACCTTTTTATTAAATAAACTCTATCACACGTCCTGTACCAACTTGATTTACGATAATTAAAATATAAAAATTGAAACTAATACAACTTTGCAATCATAAAAGTTTCACTGCCGCACGTTCCGATCCCTATGCTATTTTGTAAGTTTCACATCATATATATTATAAGTAAGCTATAAGAGAATACATGTGCATACTTTTGAATATAATTCCAATAAGAGGAAAATATTAACGATTTATTGAGTGTCTCCAAATTGATAATACGGACAAAAAGATAACAATTTCTAGTGAGAAAAATTAATTAAATTTGTAGAAACTATAGAATGTTTTCCATACGCAACGCTTCGATGTGTTATTGATTAAATTATGTACATAAATTAAAGCATAATAACTTATCCGCGAGACAAACCTGCAACTCATTTATTATTTCACAAAATACTTCAATCTTTTAATATCATTCTGATAGAAACGAAAAATATTTGATATACTGATCGATATTTTAATGCACCAAATACTTTTGCAAATGAATTTTTCTCTAAACTAACTCGATTGAATGTGTTTTTGATAACAAATTCTTTGACAATTTGGAGTCGAATTCTTTATGCGTGATGGCAAATATGCCATCAGATCTATGTTTCGCTTTTTGTCACTAATTTGTCGTGATGCAAATATTGTTCAATCTGCAATTCTCTGCCGATATAATTTAATGTAATGAACCTTGCTGCTTCCTTTATTGAAAGAACTTACGATATTTTGCAAAATTTATTTTCAACAGAATTAGCTGTTAATGTCGTGAGCGAAAAGATGTCGCGCGATACGCATTCAAAACAAATTCGACACGGGCCACAGTCTTAAGTTAGAAATATTTTGAAAAGAGAGAGAAATATAAACACCTTCGGATGGCTTTTGAAATTCATTTACTTTATCGGATAGACAAAGTAAAATCAGCTAGCGAACGAGGTGGTTGACATTAAACATAGGAGATAAGAATAATAAAAGTTACAAGATTCATGAAGAAGTAATTGAAAGAAGCTGAAATGGCTCTAGTCAAGATTTTATTTGGTATGTATATTCTTGCAAGACATACATTATACGTTTAAAAATAGATATTAACAAAATCCAAAACAAAATATTTTATTGCATATATGTTCCAAAATTTAAAATATAATAATTCCCTATACACACACACACACACACACACACACACACACGCGCGCGCGCGCGTCTTATCTTGGAGTATCTTTGATTATTTATTAGTAATTTTTTGTAATATTGATTGACTGTATATCTCTTAAAAATATTGTAATGATTTATTCTAATTGTGTGTGCTTATATAGTAGGGCAAAACAACAATGATTTATTAAATACTCAAATTCCTTCGCTACAAGGCAACATAAACTGTATAGGAAAACTGTATTCTATCAAATTTTCGAAGTGTGATAAAGAGAAAATAAAGGTAACTTTTATAGATGAATTTTTCGTAGTACCTTTTCGCATGCAGCACGCATAAACATATAAATTTGTGTAATTTATGTTACATATATATAGAAACAATTAATTTTTTTGTGCGATAAAAATGAAGATGATATTATTATTCTAATGAGCAATACTACAGCTTTCTTGAAATTGAGTGATGTTGCATATAAGGCGATTGAAGAAGTTATCGATAAAAATATCTCGAAAAATATAAACGTATGGATATCAAAGCTAACAGAGGAACTAACGCACTTATTTCATCGGTAAAATTTTTTCCAATTATTCTGCAATTTTCAAAATTACAGTTTTTACAGTATCAATATGTTCTTAGATTTATATGTGGTGTTCTAAAGCAGACATTTATCATCAATATGTGCGGCTCCTATAATGCAACTGCAATGATAAGTTTGAAGAAGAATCATGAAGTGATAAAACAAATATGCTTTTTGACGATTGTGGATGAAATGAATCAAAATGGTGATAGTTCTGATAAGATGAGTTATAATAACGATAGTGATGACAATTACTTGACTTTGCACGACACTTCCGAAGAAGAAACGGTAAAATCTGCATTCGCGAGCAATAAAATAAATTTTCACGAAGCTGCGTACACGCGAATCGTAACTGACTCTCATTACAGAAAAACATGTCGATAGCAAAGAAAATTTACAAGAATCAAAAGCAAAGTATTATAATATCGGTGAAAAAAGCAATAGAAACGATACGTATTGCGGTACTTGATACTAATGACCGTATAATGGAAAAAAATATGAAAACGAATGATGCTTACGGCAGAATAATAGCCAAAGATGTATATTCCCCCATAAACGTGCCGTCTTGTAAGACTTCCGCTAGACATGGATACGCGGTGTTGACCAGTGACGGAAAGGATGTAAGGAAAGTGTTGAAAGCACAAGTCACGGTAAGGATAGCCAAAATCTGATTAACGCATGATGGTTAGCATGATTTCACTTATAGCACGTAGGTGGGATTATTAATTTTTTTACGTTGTCTAAAGATTAGAAATGAATATTAGAGATCATGAGAAGTGAATTATGCGGAAATTTTGCAAATAATAATTCTAACTATTAAATTAGTAATCGATTAAGTTAGTCAGAATTTAGGCATCGAAACTAGACTTTTATAAAACATCTTTTTTCCAGTTTGATAAAATTTTGGTCGTACCTGGCACCTGTGTGCGAGTAAGAAGTGGAGATCCCATACCCAATGGTAAAAATAATTACAATTGTAAATTAAACTTGCTTGATTACAGTGAAGGATTAATTACCGCTTTTATTCGCGATTGCAGGAGCAAATGCAGTTGTAACGCCAGAGAATATAAAGATATTCGAAGAATGCAGTGATAATGATGACGATTATTTTAATATCGATGACAAGGAATATGAAATTGAAGTCTTGGTTGCCCCAGAAATAAACGAGAACATCAGGTATATGACGAAAATAATTCGATATCGTCTAATGCGCCTCTTAAAGCACAATTTGTTTTATTAATCACAAAACAATTTGTTTATTTTTAAAGAAACGCTGGCTATTTAATAAAGTATTCCCAACTCATTGTACCAAAGTTCACACGTCTCGGACCAGCGGAATTGGGTATTTTGATATTATGTAGCCACGATTTAATTCCAATCATTGAACTTCCGTCTGTAGGTCTGCTATCTATCAGTAGCGAATTGAAAGAACCTGAAAATACTTTAACTTTAGGACGTATTTATGACAGCAATAGAGTAACTCTGACCTCATTATTAAAAGAGAATGGATACGATTCTGTTGACTTCGGAATTTCTGCTTACAAGTGAGTATAATCGAAATTTATTATGATTCTTCTAGCCACTGTAAGCACGATTTGGTTTATGAATAATTAACGTGGTTGCAGTTCTTAATTAATTTAACGATCACGTTCTTACAGGTTGAATGATATAATAAAAAAAATCGAAGACGCTTTGAACGAAGTAGATGTACTTGTGATAATGGGCCGTTCAAACGACAAAGATATATTAAAACTAGTTTTAAGGGAATATTTTAACGCTACGATACATTTCGGTATATTTTTCCTTCTTATATATATATTAATCGTCAGTGTAATATACTATGATGTAACACGTTCCTTTACTCGAGCATTGTTCTTTCTTCCTCAGGTCTCTTGAACATGAAACCAGGGAAATCGACAACGTTTGCATCTTGCACGTACAATTATAAGAGGAAGTTTTTCCTGTGCATGTCGGTAAACCCGGCAACCGTTCCCATTGTTGCGCATGTATTGCTTCTACCACTTCTAAACACGATGCACTACAATTTCTTCAAGGGGCCTATCATTCTGCAAACTTGCGTAAGACTCGTCTTCTCTCATCACGCATACAGCAAGAGATGTATTTATTAATACGACACTGTCATAACTTTACAGATGAATAATCACGAGTTGCATTTGCGTCCGAAATTTTCATGGACGACCGTACAATGGACAGAAGAAGAGATGTTTCCAAGGGCTTATTGCTCAAAAAATCGACATCAGAATATAATGAAATATCAAAAGGCTAATGCACTTCTAATGTTGCCGCCGCGCACGTGGCAGGTGCCGAAGTTAGACGCAGCATTCGTATCAGGAATGTTTCTCAGCTGAAAATAATCATCGCTGAAATATCTTCATGTATTCCTGATCGACCAACAAGACATTCGCATACATTTGCGATGTTATTTATATTACATTGTACTTATTTAATTATACGTATTTAATTATATTGACAAATTATAATTATAATGACATAATTATGTTACATTTAAGTTATATCTCAATTATATTACTTTAATAGCAATTTATTGGTTAAATATTGGAGATTTATTGGTCTATTATTTGGTCAATAATTGTGCTATTAGGGTAAGAGTTGGGTAAGATGGGTAAGATCTAACTGAAATTGTATATAATCGCTTTTGTATAAAAAGAACACATATACCATATGCAGGATATTACTCACGATTGGCACAAACAAAATTGAAAATGTGTTATTTTCATGTTTGATACGAAGGAAATCTCCTAATAAGACAACGTTTATCTCAACTTTTCTAACTGTATCATTCGACAATTTAATAGTAGCAATCTCGCCAACTAAATTCTTATTAAAGACCAATTTAAATCATCTTGAATTTGAAATTATTCTCTTTTTCAAATTAAAGAGTGAGTATAATTTATAGATTATTTTTTTATCCGATTTTACTTCCACTATAAAATTCGCAAAAAAATTATTGTGTGATATGACTCTTATACAAACTATAATTCTTTGGAATTAATATTATTTAATAATTAGTATCATAATATGTATATATAATATTATATATATAAATATTATATATATATTATAATGTATATTGTAATAGAAATATCTTTTATATAACTTATATCAATTTCGATACACTTTATTTGTTAATTTTTCTATAAAGAATGAATATGATAAAAAATTTTATTTTAACTTAAAATCAAAGCCCTCAAAAGAATTTTTGACGAATCGTATCACTTTTTAAGATATGTATAAAAAATATAAAATAAGATATGATTGAAAAATATCAATATTAAAATGACAAAAATAATTGTTAAATATTATTGACGAAATCATTGATTTCAATCACTTTGGATTACCTATTGTTAAAAAAAAAATAGATTCACATTTTACATAGGTTTCAAACTTTCCGCGCAAACTTGTTTCTGATTTAAAACTAATTTAGTTTAGTACATGTATACATATATGTACATAAATTAAAACCTTATCTTATTCCAAGATAAAATTGCAACTCATTTATTATTCTATGGAGTATTTGTATCTTTTAATATTATTTTGATGTAGAAAAATGTACTGATCGATATTTTGATATAAAATATGATTTTTAAATAAATATTTCAAAATTATTGATTGTTTTGACACTTTTGGCAATTTGAAGTCAATTTTTTCTTGCGTGAATGGATTGAATATAATTGTCACACGGAAAAAAATTTCGAAAAATTCAAATTCATATATATGCACAAGTAAATATAAAAATTTATATATCATATATAATTACGTGTGCATATAATCATGTATAACATATAAATTTTGGTAAATAATTATTAAATTTAACAAAAACTTCCATTATTTATTCTTATTTATTTATTCGTGTATTTAATTATTTTATTTTAATTAGATTATAATAAATAATAGAAACAATTTAAATGACTACGAAAGAGCAAACATGCCGTTAAATCTGCATTAAATTCCGATTATCTGTCGTTAGTAGATTTTGTTCTATTTCTTTTATAATTCTACCAATATGATTTACCTTGTGATTTATATCGTGGTAAATCTCGTTGTTTTTTTTTTTAAGACTTATAATATTTCGTAAAATCTGCTGTCAACAGAATTACCTGTTAAAGTCATGAGCTAGAGATTTGCCGCGTGATACGTGTTTGAAACGAAATCGACACAGGTTACAGCGTCTTATTTAAAAATATTTTGAGGAGAGAGAGAGAGAGAAAGAGAAAGAGAGAGAAAGAAATATAAACACTTTCGGCTTTTGAAATTCGATTACTTTATCGATTAGACAGAGTAAAGTGAGCTAACGATCGAAGTAGTCGAGATCATATGAGGAGACGAGAACAATAAAAGCTTCGCAATCACGAGTTTAACGAAGATCTAAAGTGATCGAAATGTCTCTAAACTTTATCATTTTATCTGGTATGTATATTTATTTTTTATAGCTATATATATATATTTACGATTTCCTTAAAACTATCAGGCGTAAAAGCATGTTTAAAGATTAAAAATAATTTTATACACACACATACACGCGCGCACACACATTGTCTTACGTACGCGTATCTTCGATTATTGGTATAATTTTGTGTAATATTGATTTGAATTGTATACTTTTTAAAAGTATATATTCTAATAATTTTATTCTAATTATACTAACTGTAGTACGGCCATTAGATAGTGATGAACAACAATTAAATGAACAATTAATTGAAGTCTCTGAAATAGATTACCATATTGTAAACAATTTAGCAGGAAATGTGAGTCTCATGCAAATTGTGAAATGTGATAAAGAGGAAATAAAGGTAACTTCTACAAATAATTTTTTAAATATCTTTCTCGCACGTACGCATACGTGTTTACATATATGTAAATTTGTATAATATTTATGTTTTATACAGAAAGAATTAACTTTATTGAGCACTCAGTATAGTGATAATGTTATCTTATTAGCTGGCGATGCGAGTGATGTTGTATATGACACAATTATGGAAGTTATCGATAATAACAATGACCTTTGTGACATAAACATCTCAATATCAAACTTAATAGGGAGACTAAAATATTTAATTGCTCGGTAAAATTTTGTTTTTATTTATACTGCGGTTTCCGAGATTACAGCTTTTACAGTTCTAACGTATTCTCAGGCCGATATGTGGAATACGAAACAGGAATCTTATTATTAATCTGTGTGGCTCCTGTACGATAGAATGTTTGAAAGAATATGGATACATGATACTGGATATATTATGCTTAATTAATAAGTCAGATAAAAAGATTTATGATACAAAGAAGGACGATAGTTGTGTTGAACCATTTAATAATAACATTAATAATAATAATAATAATTCTGATGAACCATTTCATAATAGTAATAATAATGATGGTAATTCTGATAAACCATTTCGTAATAATTGTGCTGATGATAATTTGGCTGGACCATCTAAAAATTATAGTGATGATAATTTTGATGAATCATTTTATAATAACAATAGTAATGATAATTCTGTTGGGTCATCTAAGAATACTAATAACATACACAATTCTGATGAAATGTCTATGGATATTTCCTTCGAAGAACAATCGGTACAATAAAATATCTTTCTCACTCAAAACAATAAAGCAAATTTCCACCAGAGTGCATACGCGTGAATTGTAACCAATTCTCTTTACAGAAAACCGCATTGACAATAAATGATATAATTTATAAAGAACAAAAGGGAAGCAAAATGGTATCACTGGAAGAAGCAAAAAATATAATGGAAAACGTAATAATCCAATATTATGAAAGATGTACAGAAACCGTACAGACGAATGATGCCTATGGCAGAATAGTGGCCGAAAACGTACATTCTTCTGTAAACGTACCGCCTTGTTGTATTTCCGCTAAACGTGGATACGCGGTGTTGGCCAGTGACGGGCAATGTGTCAGAAAAGTGTTGAAAGCAAATCTCACGGTAAGAATGAACTCCGATTAACAAATAACGGTTTCGCACGATTTTGCTAGGATATGTCGTATTGTTACAATACGTTTTCCACGTTGTCTCTAATGCATCTCTAATGCATTTCTACCAATAGATTTAATTTAATTTTAATTTAACTTACTTATTATCTTTTTCTAGTTCTAAGAACTAAAAAAAGATAAATATTAAACCGAGATTAAAGTTAATCTACATTGATAGACATAGATATAAAGCGTGGAAGGGAATATTAAAAATCACGGTCGGCGAATTGTGCGGTCAGAAATTTTGCAGAAAATAATTCTGTTGATTGAATCAGATGTCGAATAAGTCGAATGAGTTCAATTGTCGAAGCCAAATCTTCACAAAACATTGTTTCTTTTCTAGTTAGCTAAAAAGAAGATTTTGGTTACACCTGGCACTTGCGTGCGAGTAAGAAGTGGAGATCCCATACCTGATGGTAAAATCAATTACAATTGCATATTACGCTTGTGTATCTATGGTGGATTAATTATTGCTTTTATTCGTGATTGCAGGAGCAACGGCGGTTGTAATGTCTGCGAATACAAAGATAATAGATGAACGCGATAATGATGATTATTTTAATATGGACAACGAGGAATACGAAATTGAGGTCTTAGTCGCTCCAAAAGAAGATGAAAATATTAGGTATACGAAGATAATTCTATATCGTTTAATATCTTTTTGAAAAGACACTTTGTTCTATTGTTACAAAATAATTTCTTTACTTTCAAAGAAACACTGGCTGTGAAATACAGTTCAATGAGAATATTAAAAACTCACGCAGTCGTGTTGAAACAGCGGATCTGGGCATTTTGACATTATGTAACATCGATTCAATTACGGTCTTTAAACTTCCAACTGTAGGCCTGCTATTTATCGGTTATGAATTATTAGATCCTGAAAACATTTCAACTGTAGGACACATCTTCGGCTGTAACAGGATAATTGTATCCTCGTTATTGAAGAAGAACGGTTATAATCTTATGGAATTTGGAATTTCAGCTCATGAGTAAGTGCAACAAAACTTTATTACGATTCCTCTAACCATCGTAAGACTCGATTTGATAATAAGTAATGTTGTCGCCGCTCTTAATTTGACAATCATATTCTCGTAGGCCGAATATTATACAATACAGAATCAAGGACGCTTTGGACAAAGTTGACTTACTCGTGATAATAGGCCGTGCGAACGACAAAGATATATTGAAGCCTACCTTAAAGACATTTTTCAACGCTAATATACATTTCGGTATATTTTTTTTTTTTTAATCGTCGGTATAATATGCTGCAAGTAACACGACTTTTTGCATTTCTTTTTCTGATTCAGGTTGCGTGAACATAAAACCAGGGAAATCGACAATGTTTGCATCGTGTGAGTTCAAGCAAAAGAGAAAATTTTTCCTGTGTATGTCGGCAAATCCAACAACCGTACCCATTATCACGCATATATTGCTTCTGCCGTTATTGAACATGTGCTGTAATTTAGACGATAATCCCTTGAAGATACAGGCTCGCGTAAGACTTGTCTTCTTGCATTCTTCATGAAGATATATGCATATCAATATATTGATCGTTATCGTAATCTTATAGATAAAAACATCTCACGAGCTGCACTTGCGTCCGAGATTTTCGTGGACATCCTTACAGTGGTCGGAGAAAGAAGCTGACACATATCCAAGTGCTTACTGCATAGATGTTAAACATCAGCACATGATGAAATATCAATTTAGTAACGCGCTTCTAATGCTGCCGAGGTACACGTCGGAAGTTCCGAAGTTAAACGCGAACTCAGTATTTTTACCAGCGATGTTTATGGGCAACTGAAAAATCTCCAAATTGTTCTCGATTGACCAGCGGGACAAACGTTCGCATACATTTATAATATAGTTATTTAACTATATTATTGAATTATAATTATAATGATTTAATTATATTACTCTCAAATTATGTCTGAATTATATTAAGAACTATAAAGGGTCGGTTATTCTACCTTTCGGTAAATTTTACGCGTAAATAAATTGTTAGATCCGCTCATGTGATTGGATAATCTTGCTACTTATCTAATGCGTAAAATTTATCGAAAGGTAGAACAATCGGCCCTAAATGAAGTAATGACGTCTGTGTAAAAAGAACTTCATACATGATGTATTACGCAAATTGGCAGAAAGAAATCGAAGATTATTTCGTTGATGTCGTTTTACACACTGATAAATACAACGAAAATTTTTTCTTAGCGAAAATATCGAAAGATCATAATATTTGTCCCAAATTTTCAAAAGTTTGCCATTTTGCAATTTGATTATAGCAATTTCGCGAATTAAGTTTTTATTAAAGACCAACTCAAATTACTCTTTAATTTGAAGTTTTTCTAATGACGAGCGAATAGATTTCTTGTTTTTTTTTTTTGCTTGATTTTACTTCTACTATAATTTGCAAGTTGTAGAATGATTTATACAAATTAATTCTTTGAAATTAATATTATGCAATAATGTGTGTTAACATCATAATGTGTATATGATATATATTCTAATTTTATATATATGATATATATATTATAATATCATAAATATTATATTATAATATATGTATTGTAACAACATATTATAATAATAATATTATATGTATCATATTGTTCAATTTCGAAATTTTTTTGTTAAGAAAAAGTGAGCTTTCAAAAAATTTTTATATTCTCTGCCAATCATGAATATGATTCTCTTTCAATATAACTTTATTTTATATTATGCGATGTTATATATAGTAATATAACATTTGATAAAATTTTAATGACAGCATATATTTGTGCAATAATTATTTTTTGTAATTATTGATGTAAAATATAATAATAGTGACATATTTTAACATGCTGTTGACACAAATATAATCAATACAAATTACAAATCTCAGAATTTTAGATCCTCTTACACTATGCATGTAATTTTGGAATGAACGTGCGATTTTTATCCCAGTCAATCTCGCTAATAATCGAATAACGCGAGCGTAATATTTGAATTTAAAAAGTTATTTTAAAACATATATATACAACTTTCAAGATAGGTGAATACAAAATAGAATATATTGAAATATCAATTTTACAAAAAATTAGAGAGAACGGCTATCGATTTTACGTCATTTCTCATGTGTACAAACAAGAAAATTTACATAATCTGCTCGAAAGGTTAAAAAAACGAATCTTTGTAATAGAAAATCTCAATTCGTTTAAAAATTATAATCCTTTCGCACACATACACATAAATAGAAAATAGTGATAATTATTTTGCGCTGCAAAATATAACAAGAGCTATATCGCGAAATCTCACGGTCAAAATTTTATGTTGAGAAGACATACATATGTGAAAATCAAAGAGTAACGGTGATGTGTAATCTATTCGAAAGTTCTACCAATTAGATAATTAACGTTGTGTTTAAAAAACTTTCATATTTTTTATATTTATATAACTTATTTATTACATTTACACAATTATTTTGCGTGTATCCAATTAGATAAGAAGAAGTTTAATCATTTCATTTTCCTATTAAATTATATATAAAACAATTTCGAGAGAGAGAGATGATTACTAAACAGCAGATGTGCCGTCAAATCTGCGTTCATTTTTCTCCACCTATAATCTGTCATTTCGCAAATATTGTTTAATTTCTGTTGCAATTCTGTCGATATAATGTAATGTAATAGACTTATTGCGTTTCTTACTGAAAAGACATACAATATTTTGCAAAATTTACTCTCAATAGAATATTATAGCCGTCAAAGTCGTGAACAAAGAGATCTGCCACATGACACGCATTCAAAACAAAATCGACATAGGCCGCAGTCTTAGAAATATTTTGAAAAGAGAGAAATATAAACACTTTCGTACGGCTTTTGAAATTTTATCACTTTATCGGAGACAAAGTAAAGTCAGCTAGCGAATAAGGTGGTCGATGTCACACGTAAGAAACGAGAATAATAAAAGATACGCAGTCAGGTTCAAAAAGAAGTAATTGAAAGAAGTTAAAATGGATGTGGATATTCTAATGGTCACGTTTGTTGCTGGTATGTATATTTATCTTGCAAGATGTATAACATACGCGTTTAAAAATAGATATATTATAATAAAAACAAAATATTTTATAAATTATATAATATATGTATATATATATATACATGTTTAGAAATTAAAAATAATTCTATATATATACAAATACACACACATATATGTCTTACATACGCGTATCTTTAATTATTAATAACTTTATATAATAATCACACCATACTTCTTAAAAATATTCAAATACCTTTATTCTTAATTTTATTATACTATACAGTAGAGCAAGAACGCCATAATATTGACTTATTAAATAATCAGACCCATTCACTACAACAGAGTTTTGTACAAGACACAGATTTCAATTGCATCACAGTTCCAAAGTATGACAAAGAGGAAATAATGGTAACTCTCTCTCTTTTTCTCTCTCTCTCTCTCTCTCTCTCTCTCTCTCTCTTCTACAGATAGATTTTTAAATATTTTTCTCGCATGCACGCACGCATACATGCATGCACATTTATATACGCATATGATCAATGTATAATTATATAATTTATGTTATATATAGAAACATTTAATTTTTATTTGCGATAAAAATGAAGATGATATTATTATCCTAACTGGCAATTATACAATTTTTTCAATGTTGGACGATGTAGCTAATGAGGTTTTCGATAACGATATTCCTAATGAGATAAGCATATTGATATCAAAACTAACAGAAAAACTACAGAGTTCATTTAATCGGTAAAATTCTGTTTCCATTTATTCTGTGGTTTTCGAGATTATATATAGCTTTTATAGTATTAACTATTTATATATACATATGTATGTCTCAGATTATTATGTGGAATACGACATCACACACTTATCATTATTACATGTGACTTCTATCCAAATATAACGTTAATTTTCAAGAAATATCATACATTTATAAAGTCAACAATAGATTTAATTGAGGAAGTATATGAAAGAAGTCATGCTTTCAAAAGTAATGATAATTTCGATAATTCTGAGAAGTTTTGTGATAACAGCAGTGACTCTGATATATCTATGTTTTACGAATCCGAAAAAGAAACGGTAAAGCATCTTCTACGCTCGGGAAATAAAGTAAATTTTCTTGAAAACTGCGTACACGCAGATCATAATTGATTTTCGTTATAGAAGGAAACGTTGGTGATGACGAAATTTCATAAGAAACCAGAGCAAAATGATATTATGTCGGTGGAGAAAGCAATAGATTTAATAAAAGCTATAGTATTTCAAAATGACGACTACAAAGTAAATATACAAACTGTGAACACAATTGATGCTTACAACAGGATATTGGCCAAAGATGTATTTACTGCGAAAGACGTGCCGTCTTGTAAAACTTCCGCTAAACATGGATACGCGATGTTGGCCAGCAACAAGGCCGGCGGAAAGGACATTAGAAAAGTGTTGAAAGCATCTCCCAAGGTAAGACTCGCTAAATTCCAATAAACGAATGAAGGCTCGCACCATTTCGTTAACATATGGATGGCATCATTAATTTTTCTATGTTATTTAAAGTGTGAAAGCAAATATTAGATATTATGAGAGGAAAATTGTATGAACAGAAATTTTCCAGAAAGCAATTCTGCTGATTGAATTAGTCATCGATTAAGTTAAACACAAATTTTAATCGTCAAAGGTAGATCTTTAGATACTGCTTCTTTTCTAGTTCACAGAGATTTCGGTTGTACCTGGCACCTGCATGCGGATAAGAAGTGGATGTCCTATACCCAATGGTAAAAAATAATTACTGAAAATTAAACTTGTTTGATTATAGTGAAGAATTAATTACTGCTTTTATGCGTAATTGCAGGAGCAAATACGGTTGTAACGCCAGAGAATATAAAGATATTGGACAAATGCAATGATGACGATTATTTTAATATCGATGATAAGGAATACGAAATTGAGGTCTTGGTCGCTCCAAAAGTAAACGAGAATATTAGGTATACGAAGATAGTTCGATATCATTTAATGCGCCTCTTAAAGCACGCTTTGTCCTATTAACATAAAACAATTTATTCATTTTTGAAGAAATGCTGGCTACTTGGTAAAGGGTAATGGGCACATTTTGAAAAAGTTCATACGTATTCGATCACCGGAACAGGGCATTTTGATATTATGTGGCTACGATAAAATTCCAGTCATCGAAATTATATCTATAGGTGTATTTTCTATCGGAAGCAAGTTTGAAGAAGCTGGAAACACTTTAACTTTAGGACGCATCTATGATAGCAACAGGATTATTTTAACCTCTTTATTGAAAGAGAACGGTTACAATCTCACGGACTTAGGAACTTCGGCTTATCGGTGAGTGGAATCGAAATCTATTGCATTTCCTCCATCTATTGTAAAACACGATTTGGTTTACGAATAATTAACGTCATCGTTGCTCTTAATTAATGTAACTATCACGTTCTCACAGGTTGGATGCCATAATCAAAAAAATTGAAGATGCTTTAAATAAAGTCGACGTACTCGTGATAATGGGCCCCGTGAACGATAAAGACATATTAAAGACAATCTTAAGAGAACATTTTAGTGCTGAAATACATTTCAGTATATCGTTTCTTTCTATTTTAATTTGGTGCACACTATGATATGACACGTCTCTTTGCTCGAACAATGTTTTTTCTCTTTCAGGTTATTTGGACATGAAACCAGGAAAATCAACGACGCTCGCAACGTGTATGATTAATAACAAGCTGAAGTTTTTCCTGTGCATGTCAGCAAACCCAGCAACGGTTCCCATTGTCGCGCACGTAGTGCTTCTGCCATTTCTAAACATGATGCACTGCAACTGTTCCACGCCCATCGTTATGCAAACTTGCGTAAGGAACTATCCTGACAAACTTACACCGCCGCATAAATTTTCTTTATGCATACGTTTCTGCGGCTATGCAAGTTTGTTTGAACAGATTATAAAGACTCATCTTTTCTCATTCAACATACAGAAAGAGATGTGTTCATTAATACGCTGTCGTAATATTATAGATAAAAAATCACGAGTTACATTTGCGTTCGAAATTTTCATGGACGACCGCCCAATGGGCGGAAGAGGAGATGTTTCCAAGGGCTTATTGTTCAAAAAATCAACATCAAAACATAATGAAATATCAAAAGGCTAATGCACTTCTAATACTACCGAAGTACACGTCGGAGATACCGAAATTAGATGCGGCATTTGTATCAGCAGAATTTTTCGGCTAAAAGTGATCTCTGAAATATCTCCAAAATATTCTTAATCGACCAGCAGGACGAACATTCGCATTCATTTGCGTTGTTATATTTTATACTTAATTATATTTTCTAATCATAATAATTTAGTTAGATTATATATTTTATTTAAATAATATCTCGATACCTCAATATTGAAGTATTATTTATTGTCACTAACAGCATAGACCTCCAAGGGACCCTTAGGATATTCAGAGAACGTCCTTTAAATAACCTAAGGACATCCCCAAGATATATCTCGGATAAAGCTATTAGAGATTATATTAATTAATCTAAATAAAGTAACCAGTCCTAAAAGAAACACGCGTACACGGTATATTGCACATGATTGGCAAAAACAAAATATGTTATTTTACAGATACATGTAAAAAAGTTTTTTTTCTTATGAAAAACATCGAAGGATCAAAATGTTTGTTTCTTTCCAAACTGTACCATTTAAACGTAGTAGTTTCGCGAACTAAAACTTATTAAAGATTAATTTAAATTGTATTGAATTTGAAGTTATTACCTTTTTCAAATTGACTCGTCGATTTGAAAGACAATTCATAGATTTCTTTTATTCATGTTTAAGGTAAATGTTCCAGTAGCCGGACGTTTTTTTTCTCATAAATAATACAATTTATAATATTAAAAAGATTTTTAATATAATTTTGTATTCATTTGAAAATTCAAGATTCCCTTAAACAAGGAAAAATTATTTGGACCCACTTATAACAATTATTAATTAAAATATTTAAATAAATAATAGAATGCGTCAATATGGCCAGTGGCCGAACAAGCCGGTCAGACACATTCTTTCTATTTTAATTCGATGCACACTATGGTGTGACACGTTTCTTTGCTCGAACAACGTTTTTTCTCTTTCAGGTTATTTGGACATGAAATCAGAAAAATCAACGACGCTCGGAACGTGTGTGATTAATGACAAGCTGAAGTTTTTCCTATGCATGTCAGCAAACCCAGCAATAGTTCCCATTGTCTCGCACGTAGTGCTTCTGCCATTTCTAAACATGACGTCCTGCAACTGTTTCACGCCCATCGTTATGCAGACTTGCGTAAGGAACTATCCTGACAAACTTACACAGTCGCATAAATTTTCTTTATGCATACGTTTTTGCGGCTATGCAAGTTTATCTGATTGGATTATAAAGACTCATCTTATCTCATTCAGCATACAGAAAGAAATGTTTATTATTACGATATATATGTATAAATATATATATACTGTTACACATATATATATATAATATATATTGTAATAATATTATATTAATTACAATATATAATAAACATATATATAATATTATTATAATGTATATTGTAATAATATTATTTATTTATTGTAATATAACTATATTTATATTATCATCTCGATATTTTCATTAAGAAAAATTGAGCTGTCGGCAAAGAATTTTCTACCAATCCTGAATATATCCTCTTGTAATAAAAATTTTTATACTATGCAATATTGTATTATAACTATAATACTTGATAAAATTTGTTTAATGATGATATGTATATTTTTACGATTCTGTAATAATTTGATATGCAAAGTATAATAAAAATTTTCATATTTTAACATATTGTAAATATCCAAAACCTATAATATAAATACATGTCAGAATTTGAAAAAAAAAAAGACGCATGTAACTTTGGTTTATTTTTATTTCCATTTGATTCACTCACGCATCAAATATCACAACGTGAGTAATATTATACAAACTTAAATTTTATTCCAAAAATTATACTATACAACTTTCAAACAGTATGAACACGGGATAGAGTATATCAGAAGATCAATACCAATGTGATTATTTAATTATTAAACTTTAACGAATTTGCGCTTTAATTACCATGAGGCTTTCATCATTTCGCTTTTATTATTCTTTTATTTTAAACATTACGAATCATTTTTATCTTATTTTTTATTAAGATTAAGATACAAATTATTTAAAATATTTCGGTATAAAAAAGTGCTCTTATAATATACATATATCATTGCAACAAAATGGATCGATATATCTAGGTTTCTATATATATCACATACACATGAGCATATATATGAAGAAACTGCACTGTATGTGTTTAATTTTAAGATATTAGCCTCTGTATGTATATATTTACGTATAAAACAAAAAGAAATTATGTAAAATTCAAATCCATACATATGTACAAGTATGTATGTACATAATTGTATATAATATACAAATTTTTGTAGATAATTATTGAATTTAAAAGAAAACTTTTATTATTTATTAAGTCATATTTATTTATTTTACTTGTTACATTTACTTGTTACATTTATTTCGCTTGTATCAAATTAAAGAGCAAATAGTATTTAAATTATTTTATTTTCTAAATTATGCAAAATAATTAAAACAACAACAAAATATGCCGTCAAATCTGCATTTCATTTCTAATCTGTCGTTAATAGATGATTTTATTCGATTCGTTTCGATTAAAGTGATAAGCGAAAAAATATGTCGCGCGATACACGTTCAAAACAAAATCGACACAAGTTACAGCATCTTACTATAGAAGAATTTTGAAAAGAGATAGAAATATAAACATTTTCGTACAGCTGTTATGTTTTGCTTATCGAATAGGCAAAGTAAAATCAGTTGACGAACGAAGTGGTCGTGATCAAACGTAGAAGACAAGAACAAAAAAAGTTTCGAGGTTAACAGTCACGAGGTTAACAAAGAATCAAAAAAACTAAAATGTCGAATCTAAAAATTGTTCTTTTAATTAGTATGTTATTTATCTTACGATCTTAGGATATATATCATACGTTTAAAAATTGATTTTAATAAAATCCAAAATAAAATATTTTATCGCGTACAAAAAAAAATTTAAAGATTTAAAATTAAAGATAATTCCACATACGTACACATACACGTCTTATGTACACGAATCTTCGATTATTAGTAACTTTGTATAATATATATTGATTAGAGATTATGTAATATATTGATATACGAATTGTATACATAATTCTTAAAAGTATTCTAATAATTTTATTTTAATTATTTATATAGTTGGGCGAATTGACGATAAAGAACGATTAAACAATCAAATTAATGAATTAGACAAGAGCATTAAAAATATAGGAGGAGAACTGTGTTTTGTCACATTTTCAAGCTTATTAAAACAGGAAAAAAGAATAAAGGTAACTTCTGTTAATGATAGTTCTTTAAATACTTTCCTTGCATGCAAACGTATGTTTAAATACATACACACACATATATATATATAAATTTATATATTATATAATTTATGTTTCTCATTTAGAAACGATTAATTTTTTTAAGTAATAAGAAAGACTGTAACGTTATTGTCTTAATTAATGGTACGGTTTCTTTTTCTTTTTTGTGTGATATTGCATATGAGATAATTAAAGACGTCATCAATAACAATATCTCTGACGATCTAAACTCATCGTTATCAAAACTAACAGAGGAATTAAAGCATTCATATAATCGGTAAAATTTTGTTTCCATTTATCCTGTGATTTTCGAGATTACTGTTGTTATAGTATGTACGTGTTCTCAGACCCATATGTGGAATACGAAACAAGAAACTTATCATTAATATGTGCGACCCTTTATACGAAAATAGAATGATGAGTTTGATGACAAGTATTACCTTGATACTAGAAATAATACACTTAATGAATGTGCAAGATGAAAAAATTTATAGTGTCAAGAATGATGATACTTTTGATAAAGCGTTTAATACTGACAATAACTATGATAATTTTGATAAAATGTCTTTACATTCTACCTCCGAGAATGAAACGGTAAAATATATCTTTCACGCTTAAGGAAAATAAGGTAAAGTTCCAAGCTGCATATGTACGAATAATAATTGACTCTCTGTACAGAAAAATATATCAATAGAAAGTCTATCCAAGAGAATTTATAACAAACAAAAGCAAACTATTATGATGTCAGTAAAAAATGCATTACATACAATGAAGAACGTATTAGACGGATTAGATTGCAAGAATAAAAAGGATACAGAAATCGTGGAGACGAATAATGCTTATGGTAGGATACTGGGTGATAATATAAAATCCTCTGCAAACGTGCCATTTTATAATATTTCGACAAAACATGGATACGCGGTGTTGGTTAGCGACGGGAAGAGTAAAAGAAGAGTGCTGAAAGCACATCTCACGGTAAAAATTATCGAATTCTGATTAATAAGTAATGACTCGATCAATTTCAGTAGTCAAAATATTATTGTTATGTTTTCTACATTGTATAAGGCATAAAAGGAATATTGGAAATCATTGCCAATGAATTATGCAGTACACAATTTTGCAGGAAACAATTCTGTTGATTGAATTATGTCCATTTCTATCAATGTAGATTAAATTTAATTTCAATTCAATTTATTCTCTCCCTCTTTCTCTATTTTTTAGAAAAAAGAAGAAAAACATAAAAAAAATAAACAGTTAATTAAACCGAAATTAAAATTGAACTATATTAGTAGAAACGAGCATTCGAGGCGAAAATTAAATTAAGCAGAATTCAATCGTTAAAACTAGATTTTAATAAAACATCACTTCTTTTCCAGTTCGCAGAGATTTCGGTTGTACCTGGTACTTGCGTGCGAGTAAGAAGTGGAGATCCCATACCTAATGGTAAAAATAATCACAAATTACACTGCAAATTATACTGATTTACTTATGATGAAGGATTAATTATTGTTTTTATCCGCGATCGCAGGAGCAACGGCGGTTGTAACGCTAGCGAATACAAAGGTATTGAAAGAATGTAGCGACAATGATGACGATTATTTTAATATCAACGACAAAGAATACGAAATTGAAGTTTTAGTAGCCCCGAAAAAGGACGAGAATATTAGGTATACAAAGGCAGTCCATTATTGTTTTCTATGCTTTTCAGAGCACGCTTTGTTCTATTAACATAAAACAATTTATTTATTTTCGAAGAAACGCTGGCTACGAGATGAAGTCTGGCCAGATCGTTTTACAGATATTCAATCGTATTGAATCGGTGGAATTGGGCATTTTGAGATTATGTGGTCTCGATTCAGTTCCAGTCATAAAACTTCCATCTGTAGGTCTGTTGTCCATTGGAGATAAATTGGAAGAGCCTGGGTACACTTCAACTTTAAAACGTATCTACGACTGTAATAGTATAACTCTAATCTCGTTATTGAAAGAAAACGGTTACAATCCCGTAGACTTAGGAATTTCAGCTTATCAGTGAGTGTAACAAAAATTTATTGCGATTTCTCATCTGTAACATCTGTAAGATGCATATCTGATACGATATTTGATTGACGAATAATTAACATGTCATAGCTCTTAATTAATTTAACGATCACATTCTCGTAGGTTAAAAGCCATTATCAAAAATATTAAATACGCTTTGGACAAAGTAAACCTACTCGTGATAATGGGACATGCAAACGACAATGATTTATTAAAGCCTATCTTAAGAGAATATTTTAACGCTGTTATACATTTCGGTATATCGTTTCTTTTTATTTTAATTTGCTATATGCTATACGCCCGGTGTGACACGTCTTTTTGTTAGAGCACCGGTCTTCTTGCCTTAGGTCGCGTGGAGATGAAACCAGGAAAATCAACAACATTCGCAACGTGCACCTTCAAAGACAAAACAAAGTTTTTCCTATGTATGTCGACGAACCCAGCAACAATTCCCATTGTCGCGCGTATATTACTTCTGCCATTTCTGGACAAGATGCACTTAAATATCATGGCTTATGAACCCAAACCTAACATACAGACTTGCGTAAGAGAACGTCTCTTGCACTCCGCATACGAGAAAAAACATACTCATTGATACGTCACATTACTGTTGTTACAGATAATGACAACACATGAGCTGCATCATCGTCCGAAATTTTCATGGACAATCTTACACTGGTCGGAGAAGGAAACGTTTCCAAGGGCTTGTTTTTCAAAAAAACAACATCAAAACATAATGCAATATCAAAAAGCTAATGCGCTTCTAATGTTACCGCAGCGCACGCCGTATGAGTCGAAAATAGACGCGGCATTCGTATCAGCGATGTTCCTCGGCTGAAAAGTCTCCAAGATTATTCCTAATCAACAAGCAGGACAAATATTTGGATTGTTGTTCAACTATGTTATTAAATTATAATTATTAGGAATGCACTGGATCATAAAATTACCAGATACCAAACATTAGATATCCGGGAATGCAAATTTTTGAATCGGATATCCAATATTTTCCGGATATCCGATCGGATTCCGGGACAATGGCTACGGTTACACCGTGCATTTAGGCCGCGGCCTATACGATAGATGTCTTTGTTTATTCTGTATATTAAACAAAGACATCTATCGTATAGGCCGCGGCCTAAATGCACGGTGTAACCGTAGCCACCGTCTTCTAAAAAAAACTGACTATCCAGTCGGATAGTAAAAAAGTGCTGAATAATACCGGATACCGGATACTTTTCCTAACAATTATAATTATAATGATATAATTAAGCTGGGCATGCATTTGAAATACTTTTATTTGAAAAACAGTTTGTAATACAATTATATTTTATATTTTGTATTTTACTGAAATCAATTCATGAAAATATTTTATATTTTGTATTCATGAGAACATATAAAAATATTTTGTATTTTATACTTCAGTAATAATAACAAAAGATTAAAATTATTTTCTTTCTATATTTTAAATACTAAGAAGAAATTGACAATCAATCTTATTATTAAAATTACAAAATATAATTCAATCTTTCGATTTTAAATACAAAATACGAAATATACTTGTATTGCAAATATATGTTTTAAATAAAAGTATTTGAAACGCAGCCCTAGATATAGTACAATCATAACTCTAAATATCATTGAATTTATTTGATATATAAATTATTACAATTATATTAAAAATCAACTACCTCTCAAGGCGCCAGTTTGGTTGTGTGACATCCTAAGAAAGAAATAATATACAGAAATAAATTGCTACGCGTATCTACACAATTTTATTTTTTGGTTTTCCCTTAAAAACATAATAATTCATAATCCTGAAATACATAAAATATACGGCAAATTGAGAAATTTGTCCGATATGTTATGTAGAAGCGTAAAATAATTCCTGAAATAATAGTAGGTACATTTCTTAGTTGTCAAAAACCGCTGCGGTAGCGCTGCGGCAAATCACAATCTTATATTAGAAATATTTTGAAAGAAGAAAAAATATAAACACACGGCTTTTAAAGTTTAATAACTTTATCGAATAGACAAGTAAAGTCAGCTAGCGAACGAGATGATCGAGATCAAATGTAGAAGACGAGAACAATGATAGCCATTTTTTTGGTCAAAAAAGCAAGAGACAAACAGCAAGAAACAGGAAACAAAGAGCACATTGTAGAATGGCTGTGACAGTTTCGCAGTCACAAGATTTACAAGGAAGTACAATAATTGAAAGGGACTAAAATGGCTCTGAACATCATCATCTTAATAAGTATGTATATTTATCTTACAAAATATATATATATATCAAATATTTAAAAACAGATCTTAATAAAATCATCCAAAACAAAATATTTCATCGCACATATATATTATAAAGATTTTAAAAAATTCCACATATATATACACACACGTCTTTAGACGTGTATCTTTGATTATTAGTAATTTTGAGTAATATTGATTCGAATCGTATACTTCTTAAAAATATCTTAATAATTCTAATTACTTATATGGTACGGCAAGACAGCAATATTGAATCATCAATTGTCGATCAAGCTCATTTACTAAAACGCAGTGTAAGCTTTGTAGGAGAATTGGCTTCCATCGAATTTTTGAAGTGTGATAAAAAGGAAGGAAAGGTAACTTCTGCAAATATAAGTTTTTAAAAATATCTTTTCTCATACGCACTTACGCACCTATCGTATAAGCGTTATTTACACATGCATGTATATAAATTTATTTAATTATGTTACATATAGGAAAAATTAATTTCATTGACCGATCAGAATAAAAGTAATATCATTATCTTAATTAGCGAAATTTCTGTTGTGAAACAGAACGATGTTGCATATGAGGCGATTGAAGAAATCATTGATAAAAATATTTCTGAGGATCTAACCATATTAATATCAAAACTAAGAGAGAAGCTAACGTATTCATTTAATCGGTAAAATTTTATTTTCATTTATCCTGCAGTTTTTTGAGATTACTGCTTTTACAATATGACTGTGTGTTCTCAGACTTATATGTGGAATACGAAAGGAGAAACTTATTATTAGTATATGGGACTCCATTGCAAACGCGATGATAAATCTTGAGAGACTGGAATCCTATGCATCCTTGATACTGCCAATAATGCGCTTGATGCATATTGCACAAGATAAAAAAATTTGTAATGCCAAAAATCATGGTAATTCTGACGAGGCGTTTTGTAATAATAGTAATAACGATATTTCTGCTGATAAGTCGTTATCTTTGCAATGCGTCCCTAGAGAAAAAAATGATAAAATACCTTCCCCAAAAAAAAAAACGGTAAAATATCTTCCACGTTCGGAACAACAAGGCGAATTTCCGCAAAACGTACACGCGAATGATCATATCGCAATTGAATCCCAACAGAAAAATATGTTAAAAGCGAAGAGTATTTATAAGAAACAAAGGAACCAACTTATGTTGCCAGTAAAAGAAGCATTATATATGATACGTCTTATAGTAAACAAATTCTATCTCGCGAAGAAAGAAAACGTGCAGATAAAAGATGCATACGGCAGGATATTGGCAAATAAAATATATTCCTCTATAAATGTGCCACTTTGTAACATTTCTGCTAAACGTGGATACGCGATATTAGCCAGCGACGGGAAGGGTATAAGAAGAGTATTAAAAACACATCCCACGGTAAGGCTGACCAAACTCTGATTAACAAATGGTGACTCACATTTCGATCGTTAATATTTGAATTAAATTATTAATTTTTCTATGTTGTCTGAAACGTAAAAAGAAATATTAGGGATCATGAGAGGCTAAGTGTACAATTAGAAATTTTGCAGAAAGCAATTCTGCCGATTGAATGTCATTAATTATAAGTTAGTCAGAAAATTCAATCGTTCGTCAAGCTAAATCTTTGTAAGACCGTTTCTTTTCCAGTTTGCAGAGATTTCGATCATACCTGGCACCTGCGTGCGAGTGAGAAGTGGAGAACCCATACCTAATGGTAAAAACAATACAACTGCAAATTACTGTTCTAATGGTGAAGAATTAATTTGTGCTTTTATCCGCGATTGCAGGAGCAACGGCAGTTGTAACACTAGAGAATACAAAGATATTGGAAGAATACAGCCATAATGACGACGATTATTTTAATACCGACGACAAGGAATATCAAATTGAAGTTTTAGTAGCTCCGAAAAAAAACGAGAATATTAGGTATACAAAGGCAGTCCGTTTATTGTTTTATATGCTTCTCAAAGTACGTTTTGTTCCATTATCACGAAATAATTCATTTTTTTTTTTCGAAGAAACACTGGCTGTGAGATGCAGGGCACCCAACGCATTTGCGATAAATTCACTCGTATCGGATCAGCGGAATTGGGCATTTTAACATTATGTGGCATAAATTCAATTCCAGTCATTCAAATTCCATCTGTAGGTCTGCTATCTATCGGCGAATTAGAAGAGCCTGGAAACACTTTAATTCGAGGACGCATCTACGACTGCAACAGGATAATTGTGTCCTCGATATTGAAGAAGAATAATTATGATCCGGTGGACTTAGGAATTTCTGCTCACAAGTAAGTGTAATCGAAATTTATTATGATTCTTCTAGCCACTGTAAGCACGATTTGGTTTATGAATAATTAACGTGGTTGCAGCTCTTAATTAATTTAATGTTCACGTTCTCCTAGATTGGATGTTATGGTCAATAAAATCAAGGATGCTTTAGACAAAGTGGATATACTCATAATAATGGGCCGTACAAACGACAAAGATCTATTGAAGCCAATCTTAAAGACATATTTTAACGCAATGATACATTTCGGTATTTTTCCTTCTCATATTAATCATTGATGTAATAGCCTATGATGACATTTTTTTGCTCAAGGATTCTTTTTTTTACCTTAGGGCGCGTGGAGATGAAACCAGGAAAATCGACAATGTTCGCAACATGCATGTTCAAACACAAAATGAAGTTTTTCCTATGCATGTCGGCAAATCCCGCAACCGTTCCCATTGTCACGCATGTATTGCTTCTGCCATTTCTGAACGAAATGTATTGCAGTTACTTGACGAAGCCCATTAATATACAGGCTTGCGTAAGACTTATCTTCTTGCATCCCATATATGGGAAGAGACATATTTATTGATTCTTGCTGTTGTAACTTTATAGATAAATACAAAGCACGAGCTGCATTCGCGTCCGAAATTTTCCTGGACGACATTATGCTGGACGGAGATGGAAATATTTCCAAGAGCTTACTGTTTGCAAAATCAATATCAGAATGTAATGAACTATCAAATGGCTAATGCGCTTCTAATGTTACCGCCGTGTTCGCCAAATCAGCCGATATTAGATGCAGCATTCGTACCAACGATGTTTCTCGGCTGAAAAATCTCTAAGATATTCCTAATCGACTAGTAGGACAACGTTCGCATACATTTGCGTTATTTATTTATATATTATTTAATTGTAATTATGACTAAATTATGTTACATTTAAACTACATTTCAAACAAGATCTAAGTGAAGTAATTACACTGTATAAAAAGAACAAGCGTAAGCAAGGTATACGATTGGCAAGAAGAAATTGAAGATCATTTCATCGGTAATCATGTTTTTTTATATACTGATAAATACAAAGAAAATTTTTTCTTACAAAAAATATCGAGATATCGAGTGCTTGTTTCGGCTTTTTTCTATCTCTATCATTCCACAATTTAATTGTATCAATCTCGCAAACTATAGTTCTATTAAAAACCTATTTAAATCACTTATTTTGAATTTGAAATGATTTCCTTTTCCAAATTGAGGAATGCAATTGATTTTGTTCGTTATTATTTTCATTATGTAATTTGCAAAAAATCATTGTGAAATAATTTATACGAACTAATTCTTTAGAATTATATACATATATTATGTATAATATATAATATTCTTTTCTATTATTACTTATATATTGTAATAGTAACATATTATATATATATATGTATATTATATGATTATATGTACTGTATATATATGAACATACGTACATTGTCTCGATATTTTTTTATTAAGAAAAAAATGAATTTATAAGAAAGCTCATATTTTCCATCAATTTTGAATGTATATATTCTCTTATCACATAAGTTAATTTTATATTATACGACATTATATTATAGCAGTAATATTAATATAATTTTCTTAATGCCAATATAATAACATTTTTTATGATTCAGAAATAATTTGATGTAAAACATACTGTAAATAATGTAAATATATAGATATTAAATATGTACTAAATTAACTTCAATAAATAAATTTTATTAGCAAAATACGACAAAAAAACAGAGTTAAATATCTCCATTCGGTTTGATTTATTTTTTTTCAAGAAGACAAGTGTTATTTGATTCATATTTATATATGATAGAAATATATATGATAACTCTACATTTAAAATTAGTTATCACATAAAAAGATATAAGCTTTATTCATTGCAATCAGGCTAGAGAACACGGTTTGTCGAACAATATACATTGCAATTCTAATCTAAATGTAAATGATTATCATAAAAATAGTAATATTACGAATACATAAAAATAAATCTCGTTAGTTATACACGATCGAATTAAATTTTGAAGTCTGAAAAGGTGCTTACCTAAATATTTTATGAAATTAGCGAATTACAGATTTATACTTGAATAATATTATCTACTTAAAGCCAAAAAAGTATCAGTATTCCATTTTGCTCTCATATTTCATAGTAAACATTTTGTGTATAGATTTTTATGAACATTTCTATATATATAAAAATTCTGAAATGTACGTTCATAATAAAACTGATGAAATCATGATTCAATATTTCTGCATATATTGAATACTTGTAGAAAGAAGAGAAAGAAGAGAGCTTAGAAAATAAATCCGAAATATAAAAAAATTCATATCTTTTTTTTTGTATAAAATTTTAATTTTTATGTACGCTTTTATAACTTTATCCTCTTTAATGATTTACTAAAAAAATTATTTGTATCGATTGTAATTACTTCCTATATACTTGATGGACTTAATATGTACAACAAAATTGCACACATATAATTATCTAATACAAATTCTAAATATTTTTCACAGCCAAATTGTGAAAATATAATCTCCAAGATGATGATAATATATTGTATCTCGCATACACTACATATATATATATATATATATACA